ATTGCCAGAATGTTTGCCGTGTATTGTAAAGCTACGTTGCACAATATAAAAAATTAGTGTAACATTTCAAATTTCCACTATGCTTTTTAGACCAAGTCAGAATCATCATGTTCATAATAATCTTTTAATTATTGATCTAATAATTAATACTTCCTAACACCTTGTAATAATAATATTATTATCACTAATAAAACACATAACATATTTTACCCTAAAATAATAATCTCTAAATAATTAATAAACTACAAAGGGTAAACCTTTGCTGTACTTAGCAAGTAATCAACATTCTAATCATTGAGAAACATCTCAAGGGGACGCCTTTGGGATATAATTATATCTATAGAACCTAGGGACCCTTTTATCCAAGAGGATAAAAGTTATATTTTTATTAATTTTTGACTGTAAGTCAGCAAGTAGGCTGTGTGTCATATATATAAATAAAGGAAATTGACCATAAGTCAGCAAGTAGGCTGTGTGTCAAACAATAGAATCAACTGTAAGTCAGCGAGGAGGCTGTGTGTTGAGCTATAAATAACCTATTAAATAGGAAACTCGGATTGCATGCTTGCAGTATCTTTATTTGAATCCAAGATTTTTTCCCATTGACTAATAAATCTAACTCCAATATCTCTCATTTGATTATGTTTCATTAATAAAACTAATTTCATGATAATAATAATAACAATGAATACATACATACATATATTGTAATCAAAGATATAGTATACTTATTTATAAATATATTTATAACCTTCATGTCCTAAAGCTGGCCCAATCAATTTACAAAATTTGGCAGCTCTATCAGCTTCAAATATTTGTAAATTATCTTGCCCAAACATTGGTTCCAAAAATTTGAACAAAAAATTAGGTCTATCACCTATTGATAATGTTGATTTTATAATCAGAGGATCTGTCACAGAAATAGTATTCTCAAAAAGTGGTCCTCCAGGCTTTACTAAATGACCTTGAGTTGAATGTAATTTACGTAGATAAGGAACAAGACCTGATGATGATAACTTGTCTTTATTCTTTGATTTATGAAAATAAGAATAAAAAACAAAATATATTGGAAGAAAGAGACATAAAATTAATATTCTGTGATTTATTATATCTATCTTTTTTATCAATTATAACAAAGATAATGAGGCGTGACATAATTAACAATTATTAGAAGTTTATACAATTATGTGATTTATAGTGTGTTTTAGATATTTAGCATGTTTAGGTTATTAGATCTAACAGATTTGTTTAGATAAATCTGAATTTATTTTTTGTTAAAATCATTTGATGTAGTTTATAAGGGTTTGAGCAAAGATTAGAAAATATAGCAATTTATATAATAATTAATCATTAAAGCAAATAGGGGAAACAAGTTTAGACCTTTTGCAAAACAATACAATATGTTTGAAATCAAAAGCCAAAACAATATGAAAAGTTCTCAATATCAAATGTTGAGGGTGTGCATGTGTCACATTCATCACATTCAATAATAATCTGGTTAATTCTGGTGACTGAAGTGCAGACATTTGGAATGCCTGGTTGATTGATTGCCCTTTAGCAAATAAAAAGGAAGGATTGAGCTAAGTTGGTGCTAAAGAATATGAAAATCATGAAATCAGCCTTCATTCATACCATGGTATGCTCATATTTATCTGACCAACCCATGCTCCAATGGCAGTGCCATTTTGGAATATAAATACAACATTATTATGGTTTCTTGCACCATTTGCCATAAGATTTGTGATAATTTCACCCTTGTTTTGGCCTGCAATGCCATTTCGAGAACTCGGAGAAGTGGGAACATCGTTGAAATCTGCCTGATTCCATTCAATATGAGGGCGGGCATATTTTTGTCTTTTTTTAGAGCTTTGAGGACCAAGGTAGCTGTTTTACGATTTTGAAGGACAAGGGGGAGATTTTCAGGTGCTAAACACAAGAATATCAATCAATATATATGAACATAAACATGCATGGAAATAATTTAACTGCTAATTTTTACATACTTGTCTCGCTTTTTTTTGCAAGTTTTTTAATGTCTTTTTCTCAAATATAATGATGTTGATCCATTAAAATCACATGCACGTGAACAATTGTTCACGCCGATCACTTTTGCAAGAAAAAATTTGAACATCTTTGATCACTATACATAAGATATGTCTTGCAAATCTAGAAATAACAGATGAATAACTCAAAGTAGATTTACTACAAATCCTGCGCAATATTTACAATTTCAAAACTGGGATAAATATGATCATATTATTCATGAAGGCCATATAACTGTCATAAATAAGAAGACACAAGATGTGAATGAGGTATTTGATTATGAAGAGGTATGTAGATATCTAGAGATAAATAATATTGGTTTGGGCATTTCTCAATATGTATAGGAATTAATTGGCTTATTTTTTTTTTGACACTTTATGAATATATCAATGAAAATCTCAACCACCTGGGTCAATTTATTGATATAGAAAAAAATAAATTTACATAATAAAAATATACAGTGTGGGACAAAAAAAACTGGAATTTTTTGGTACGATTTCAGAAAAAGGATTTTTTTTGTTCTATCTAGCATAAAATTGTCACTATGTTCTATACAAGGATCATTCCTGAATTGATTACAAATATTAAGAAACTGTTTTGATTTAAATAGGATCTTTGAAAGTCTATAATTTTAAGTTCGAAATTTACCAACAAAAATTTCAACTTAAAAACGTTCTGTTAGTTACATGATTATTCAACAATGTTTATGTATTGAAGCGTCAAAAGTTTTGGTGATTTTGTTAAATGAGACATAAAGTAATGAATTCTAAAAAATTTTGAAAACTGGAATGATTTTTGGTAAATTAGTGAAAAATAGGTTCACAGATTTTTGTAATTGGATTTTTAATGAAACAAAAATTAACTTTATTATTTAATTTTGAAAACAATTAGAAACAATTTTTTAATATAATTTATATCAATAGGAACCTCAGATTTTCAGCTTCCTTTTGGTATGTTTTTTATCTGTTTTTATTTAACCATAATTGAGAAATATATAAATAAAGATTTCCGGTTTTTTTTGTCCCACACTGTATAACATTTTTCAATATTACCTTGATATTTATTTATGTGGTGGTGATGAAACAGTTGGACTTGGATGAAAGTTTCGAGGCGGATGTGTAATAGTCTGATCTAATGCTTGAACTACTAGACTTTCATTTACAATCATAATGTTCTAAGTAATATATTCAGTTTTTGTCAGCTAAATTTTATGAAATAAAGTATCATCTAGGCCATCAGGAAAATGGGTACAAATATTATGCATATATAATACGCAATTGCAGGGATTAAGCATATAATATATGTACAATTTGCATACATTAAAAAATACACGATTTGTACGCATAATATATGCTTAATCCCTGCAATTGTGTATTATATACGCATAATATTTGTACCCATTTTCCTGATGCTATTATTAAAGAATATTTAAACCAATACATACCCTAAATGTTAACAATAAGCAAATAAGGGCTTCACACACCATGGTTTATCAAAAGTTAAAGAAATTTCCACATGATCAAAGTGGATATACCACTCACATCATTTATAAGAACATTTAAGTATATTTCCTTGCTAGCAACTTGAAATACCCACAATTCCAAACTGGTTGTTGGTTAGTCTACATAACTCACTGACAAAACTTGCCCCATCTAATACTTCCCTCCATAAATTTATACTATTCTCTGTTTTTTTTTGATTTGGTAGCAATGATACACAAACATTTGGCATATGCCAGCTCAATAATTTTTTGTTATGCTTCATCATCACCATGATGTCAGGCTTCTTTCCAATCCATGCTTCACTTACCCAAAATTTCTTCTAGTCTTTCTTGCTATACTCTGGCATTCTGATCTATAATTTAAGAAAAGAGATGAGTGATGTGTTTTTCTTTTGCGAACACTATTTATCAATTATTTACTTATGTGCTCAAACAAGTGCTACCATGTGAATGATTTTCCAGACTAGCTCAAAGTAAAGGAACCACAACATTGGTAACATACGTCCCTTTGCTTTGCTCACTGCATGACATACTGGTTTTGAATTCTGGGTTGCTCTGTATCTCACCACTAGTTTTAAAAATGTATATATATGTAAAGAGGTTCTATGTATGAAGGAAAAATTCTCAGTGGGAATACTTACCATATGTTTAGAATACGTTCAGTTCTTTTTGCCAGTTTGGTTTCATCCTCTTTCAATGTTTTATTGTGAAAAATATTCTTATTATTCCTTGAAATATCCAAATCATCAAAGTGCTCCACAAACTCATCACACTTGGAGGTAATTGAAACCAACATATCACATCTCATATTTTCACATGGTTCCTAAATTGGATAAGTAATGGTGAAAAAAATGCAAGTATAGACTCACCCAAATATTGAAATATTCACTACCATAAAAACAACCTTCTGCCTATTTCTCAAATTCATTACTATATCAGAGTCATCATTGATAACCATACTCACCAGTGGATCTCGCCATGTAAGATCAGAAAGGCTGACACTCTCCAAGGATTCTCTTATGGAACCATAAAGATTTGTATCTGTTTCTACAAAAGGACTCTAAATGTAAATTTATTATCCAGAAATTTCAAAACAAAAAAAGGTATTACTTTCAAATAATTCAAAATGATTTTACATCCACATCAAGCTTTGTCTTCAAAAAATTAAGATTCCATTCTATTTCCTTTTCTGTATGGTATGGAATCAGTTCCCTGTCCTGTAAATCTTGTTAGCTCATATCAAATAATATCACATCTAGCCAATTAATCATTAACACTGTACCATATTCAATGCCTTTAATGGTTTTAATCCTTGAATGCTTCTATATCCACTCTCCATCTACAGCAGATGTAATAACACATACCAGTATGTTAGCCTTGCAAAATTTTTATAAATGTGATGTTGCATTTTACACATGAGTAGAATCAGATTATTTATTGACAAAAGAGCATCATTGTTTCAACTGGATAGTCATGCACAGCCAGGGGAGCAGAAACTCTCAACATCCTGCAACATTGCTCTTCCAGGCCAGCAGTCCCCAACCTTCAGCTTTGACATGCCAAAACTAAGGCTCGACATCTACCACAGTATCATCATTTCATGTAAACCATGACCATTGAGAACCCAGAAAATTATCACAAATCTCTGGTAAAATATCCATTATTTTATCTCTTTGATCAGAATTGAAATCATCCATTTTTTTCAATGCTTTCTTCACTGCATGACTCACTAAATCTTCAACATCCTCATATGAACCCAGGGTATTATCATCCATCGTCAAATAAACAACAGAAGCAGAAAAAATAGCAACTAATGGTTCTTCTAATAAGAGATCTATGATTCTTGAAACTTGGTTTGACATATTGAGAAGTTTTTAAAGTGTATTGCTAATGTAAAAAGTAAAATCACTGTAAAAGCAATGAATATCTAACATTTCAATATACTGTCCTTTTTAAATGTTTCCCCTCCATGTTTTCTTCTGGATCTAAAAGATGGATAATACAGGGAGATAAAGCAAATGTATATAATTACACCAAGGAATTCCTCACAAAGAAAAGATATGTACATGAGGTAATTGGTCGAATTTGGTTAATCGCACAAATAAATCATGCAGGGTCAGGTGGTAGCACACATTGAAATTCCAAGAAAACATTTATTATATTTGGAAATTTATATGCAATTGGTTAATCAAAGTTTATTTATATGACATAAAAACTTGCCAAACTTGTAGTCACATTCGCCTTATAACATCACATATTTAAAGAAATTTAAGTTCTAGTATCCTTTCTAACCTGAGATGCTACATATTTGATATTGTCCAAACTTAACTTTAAATAGATGATGCTGTAAATGTTTTTATTTGTTGGATATATACCATCCATTGATTTTTATCATCGATAATACAGAAAAAAAGTCATAAATCTTTCTGTTTTCTTTCAAATTGTGGGTTTGGAAATCTCCTTTGGGAGTTGATCTCTAACTTCATTATTAATCTTTTTCTGGGCTTCATGCTCTGGTAGATCTTTATACTGGGTAAGATGTTTTTCTAATTCCCTCCCCAAAGTAGTAATAACTTCTTATTAATTGAAAGAAATCTTATTCTACTTCCTTGTATGGATTCTTGGAGTGCTTCCCTTTCCTTAACTTCAGAAATTCGTGGAATATTTGTGCTCAATTCCTGGATAAGTCTTTTTAATATGTGAGAATCTTCGTCCTTAACTGGATGATTTTTCAGTGGAATCACTAACTCGCTTTTTACTACTAAGATTGGGTGAGTTTTTGATTGGAGTTTCTACCAATTCATCCACATCCTCCATTTCCACATCTTCTTGAATCACTTCTGAATTGAGATTACTCATCCTCCTAACTATCAATGAAGTATTTGACTGAGAATCTCATCTAGAAATATCTGTAATAGTTTTGGCACTTTGATCACACTTAGGAAAAGGACATATGGAGGGCGCTCTAGGAAAACCAGGTTTCAAGTAATATATAAAAATTATTTTTTTTGTGTAAACAATTAATTAAATTTGTTACACATAAAATACCCCTGGAAATTATTTTACAATTTCCTGTGCAATATTAATACAGTTCACACTCTCTATAACGAACCCTCTGTCCCTATATGTAATTTCTCTGCTTTTGGTCGTTATAGAGAGAGTTTATTAAGATGGTCATTATTGAGAGAGAAATTAATTATAAAAAATTGAAATGGGGACAAAAGGGAAGTTCGTTATAGAGAAATTTTATTTAGTGATCATTATAGAGAGGGTTGTTATAGAGAGAGTAGACTGTACAACATTATTAACATTGTTGGCATATTATTATAAACAAAATATTGAGGTTTACTGTGAAACACAGATTTTTATCTCAATTTTTATTATTATTATTTGTAGTGTTCGTAGATGATAAAAATGATAAAAACAGTATATATGAATGTTGAATATAAAAATACTAATAAAATAATAAATAAATAATACTAAAAGATGATAAGAGGCACGATGGTAGGTCACTTCAATCTGGTTAAATTATAAGGAGGGTTTGCTTTAATTTAAAATAGATAGCATATAATCATTAAAAACATTTTTTTTTGATAATAATAAGAGGTGTTTGTTCACCATATAACACTTCTTTATAATAATAAAAAAACTAATGTGAAAATTTCAATAATCAGATGAATGAAATTTATTCATAAAATCATCTGGTATAGTTAATTCAATTTGTTTGGAATCTAGCATAGTTAATTCAATTTGTTTAGATTCTATAGTATTAATTTATAATTTAATTTAAAATATCATTTAACAATAAATAATTCAGATTAAATATATAACAATAAATGAGATAATTACCATTATTATTACTAATAATTGTAACTTTATTGGAGTTTACAGGCTGAGGAAGATTTGTAAAATTCAATAATCTACTTGTATAAACAGCATTTGGATGAACAGTTACTGTAATTGTTGAAGGATTAAAAGGTTTTTTATCTGCTTCCTCAAATATTTTTCTTGTTTTTACCAATTCATCAAACTGTTCTTCAAGATAATCAGGCTTATATGTACAAATAGCATCCTTCCAAAAAGTAATGATTTTTAAAATTTCATTTGCTGTTGGTCTTTTTTTCAGGAGCAGCATCTGTGCATCTGTATGCTAACTTATATAACATTCTGGAGTATTATCTGAAAAACTAGGCCTTAAGCCTTACAGATCTTGAGAGCAAGATCTAGATCATGTGGTTGATCTTTGAATGGTTGCTGATGTGTTGATATTTCTGACATTAAAATCCCAAAGCTATATATGTCTGATTTTTGAGTGTAAGGTTCCTTATTTAAAACTTCTGGTGCAATATATGGAAGTACTCCAAATATACCATCTTTACTTGATGATTCTTGATCAGCTGGGTCTGTAACCCTAAATCTGTAATTTTTGCCTGGGATAAATATTCAAAATATAAAATATTACCACTGTGAAGATCATGATGCATAAGTCCTTCTTGATGAAAGTTGCTTAAACCTGAAATAAGATTATAAAGTATTTTAATTTTATCACCCTATCCTATATAATTTGATTTTATATAATTTTTAAAACTTCCACCCTCTGCATATCTCATTACTAAAATATATCCTTTTGTATCTGGATCTTGTGAAATACCATAATACTAACAATCTCCCTATGACCAGGCCCTATACATTTAATGTGATTTTGAAGCTTTTGTGAAAATTAATAAAAATTTAATACATTATTTGAAAACCATTAATTGTCATTATATCAAATTATTTACCTCTTTTAAAAACCC